CTAGTAATCTAGAGATGCTCTAAAACATACATGTGAATGAACATAGGTTACATGTCTACACAACACCATTTAACACAAGGGACTTGAGCATCTGTGAGTATGGTCCATGAGAGGGGTTCTGGGACCCACCCCAAAGGATACTGGGGAGTAAATGGTTAACCATCGAGCCATCTCTCCAGCCCGAGAGTAAATGGTTTCCTATAATTTGGAGCATTTTGGTTTTTTTAAATATTTTATTATTTTTATTTTATGTGTATGCATGTATTGCCTGCATGCAGGTAAGTGCAACCGTGTCGTGCAATGCCCGTGGAGGACAGAAGAGGCCTTTGGATCCCTTGGAACTGGAGTTACTGACAGCTGTTAGCTGCAATTTGGGTGCTGGGATTCGAACCTGATTCTTCTGCAAGAACAACCAGTGCTCTTAACCGCTGAACCATCTCTCCAGCCCCAATTTAGAGCATTTTGTAATTAAGAACAAAGACTTAAGAAAGAAAGGCAGGGTGTCCAGTCTACGCCTCCCAGCGCTACTGAGCATGGACTGGGCACCACTGAGCACGGACTGGGAGCCACTGAGCACGGACTGGGAGCCACTGAGCACGGACTGGGCGCCACTGAGCACGGACTGGGAGCCACTGAGCACGGACTGGGCGCCACTGAGCACGGACTGGGAGCCACTGAGCACGGACTGGGCGCCACTGAGCACGGACTGGGAGCCACTGAGCACGGACTGGGCGCCACTGAGCACGGACTGGCTCCCTTAACTAACGGCCCTGAGGAAAACAGTCACTGTAATAGCTAAATAATTTGCTCTGAAGAGGAGATGTGTCTCAGGGCATCTCCTCACAGCTGGTGAAATCAAATGTTTAAGTACCAGAACCTTAAATACGTTTTTAAAAAAGCATCAAGAAAAATCTTCTATCAGTGCATCAAAGAAAGAATTCCGAGTGAAATCAATATGGCCACACTGTCTGGCCTAGAAACAATATCAAACCAAGTCCAGGAGAGGTCTGCTTATACAGCACTCCATCACACTCCCTGTGGCATGAAGAGCATTCGATGCCAGCTGTTGCCATAGTAGACCCCACTTTAATGGCATTTAATGAGGGAACAAGGGTGGTAGGCAAATCTGCTTCAGTTCTTAGATTCTTTGTAAGAAGTAAAATATTCACAGTGGGAAACACCATGATATTTCAGGCCACATGGTTCCATTTTCACCACAGGAAAGAGTTAACACACACTGGAAAGGTAAACACCTACTCATGGTAAGATTCAAAACAGGGGGATGGGGTGACAGCTCGTTTGGGGTGCTTGCCATATAATCACGAATACCAGAGTTTGATCCCCCAGAACCCAAGTAGAAAAAATGAGTATGGCCAGGCGTGGTGGAGCACACCTTTAATCCCAGATCTTTGGAGGCAAAGGCAGGTGGATCTCTGTGAGTTCGAGGCCAGCCTGGTCTACATAGAAACTTCCAGGCCAGTGAGGGCTACATAGTGAGACCAATCTAAAAAGGCAGCTGGGTATGGTGACAGATTCTTGTAATCCTAGTGCCTGGGAGTTAGAGAGAGACAGATCTGAGGAACTTGCAGGCTGGTCAGCTCAGCTCAGAGACCCTGTCTCAAAAAGCAAGGCAGATGGTATCCTGAGGAATGCCAGCTGAGACGCATGTGCACACATGTGCAGCTGTACACACAGGAATACATACAGCGCACACACAAAGTCATACCAGTGTGGAGTGCTATTTAAGAAGCTCCATGGTACATGCCATACATGTCTGTGGATGGGTGACCTCATGTACAGATGATGAGTTTGCCGTAATAGTCCAAATGTAGAATTTTCTTTTGATAAGGGCCGTATGTTCTTCAGATTGTTAATGCCTTTCAGAGATGCTAGTTCACTGGCATGAGAACACGAAGTGTCACTCACCTGCTTTGAATACCAGGATTCCCAGAATGACTTGCGTATCAGAAGATCAGTGTGCCCCCCCACCCCCCGACTTCCTCCCCAGGACTCCAGTGGGTTCATGTGGCATTTTTCTGCACACTTTGAGGCCCTCACAGGCCAGTCCAGCATCTCTCCCTGGCCAGTCCAGCACTTCCCCAGCCACAGCACTGCCTAGTGCTGCAGGCTCTTCTTCCTGGGTTCATATTTCTTTTCCCTCAACTACTAGGAGATCATGCTTTGCACTCTGACCTCTACGATAGTTAGCTTCAGTTTTCAATTTGACACACCGGGGAAGAGGGACCCTCAATGGAGGAATTTCCTCTATCAGACTGGCCTGTGGCCACGTCTGTGGGGATTTTCTTGAGTGTTAATTGATGTGGGAGGGCCCAGCCCACTGTGGGTGGTGCCACCCCTGGGCAGGTAGCCTGGGCTGTATAAGAAAGCAGCCTGAACACAGGCCAGAGGGGTAAGCCAGTGAGTTGTGTCCTCCATGGTCTGTGTTCCTGCCCTGAGTTCCTATCTTGGCTTCCCTGTCAGCCAAATAAACCCTTTCCCCCAGGGTGCTTTTGGTCAGTGTTTTATCACAGAACAGACTCCAAACCAGGAGGCCCTCGAGTTTTCTCCTAACCCTCCTCCTCGTCCATTCTGTTATGATGAACTCACACGTCTCGGTTTTTCTCTCCCTTTTCATCGTCTCAGGACAACTCCAGGATTTCATTCAGAAATTGCTCTTTCATTCATTTCCTCACTCCAAGCTGAATGCAGCAAGGTTTGTTTTTGTTTTTTTTGTTGTTTTTTTTTTTTTAAAAAAAGACAGCGTTCTGTGTATGCCAGACTGGCTTTGAATTTTTACAGGCAGTTGTGAGCTGCCTGACATTGGAAATGGAAAATGAACTTGGGTCCTCTGCAAGAATAGTTTCTGCTCTTAACTGATAAGTCATCTCTCTCCAGCCTGAGATGGTGAGATTATTATTATTATTATTTGATATTTATGAGACAGGGTCTCTCTATAGCCCTAGCTGGCCTGAAACTCCCTATGTAGACAGACCAGGCCTTGATCTCACAGAGATCTGCCTTCCTCTGTTTCCTGAGTGCTGAGATTAAAGGTGTGCACCACCGTGCCCAGACTGATAGTTTTAATTATCAATTTGACACAATCTAGAATCACCTGGGAAGAGAGTCCCAGTGAGGGGCTGTCTGGATCAGGTTGACCCACATGTGGGCCTGTCTGCGGGGGATTGTCTTGACGATTCGCCCACTGTGGGTGGCATCATTCCCTAGGAAGGTGATCCTGACTGTATGAGGGTGGACAGAGCACACTGGGCACGGCATGCACACACGAATGCATCGATCTCTTTTCTTGACTGTGACGTGAGCATCAGGCTCCTGCTGCCTTGAGGGACTGTGACCTGGAACTGTGAGCCAAAGAGTCTCCCTTAAGGTAGTTTTCTCAGGCTATTTTATCACAGCAACAGACAGGAAACAAAGACAACTTTGAACCTGTTCTCTCCCAAGTACTGAGGTCATAAGCACGTGTCTCCACATCCAGCTATAAGCTGTGCTAAGGACTGAGCCCAGGGTTTCCTGCTGTGAGGCAGGCCTCTGCCAACTGAGCCACAGATTAGAACCAGGCCCCAAATCTTGTTTTGTTTTTGGTTCTTGACCCAACATCTTATTCCAAGTCACTCAAGGGAATCCTCCTGCCTCAGCCTCCTGAGTGCTAGGATTACAGGTGTTAGCCATCATGCTTGGTTTGCAAACATATTCTCAGTGCTGTGAAACAGTTACAAAGCACTGCAGCTCTCCTGGTCACCTTCCCCAGAGCAGGCTCTCCTTCCTCTTCCCTCCACAATGTAATGGCATGATTCTTCAGTTTGCCTCCTCCTGACCAACTTGGGCTGCTTGTACCAAGTCCTAGTCCTGGATGGAGCCAGGTGCTACTCCAGCCCCACTTGGAACAGCTGCCAACCCCAAGGACACAGCAGGTGGCGTGTCTTCTCCACTCAGCAGCTGCAGGGTAGGGCTGCCTGTCCCACACCACTCCTTCAAATGTGCTGTGAGAGAAACTGCTTCCTGGCTTCAGGATTTTTTTTTTTTTTGGTTTTTTTGAGACAGGGTCTCCCTGTAGCCCCAGCTGTCCTGGAACTCACTATGTAGACCAGGCTGGCCTTGAACTCACAGAGATCTGACTGCCTCTGGCTTCAGGTTTTTAAGTAACAGACTCCATAGAGCTCGGCTATTTATTTCACAATGAGGACTTCTTTGAAGGAGAACTATACACGGTTTACCATGAATTATCTCCTTAATTAATTTCACACTAACTGTCAAAAGATGTGTTGTTCACATGCATGAAGCTCTGGGTTCCATTCCCAGCACCCCCAAAATGAAATGAAATTAAACTGCAATTCAACAACCAGACCCACGGAGAACTTTTATCTCTCATTTTGGAAGTGATTTTCAACTTAACGGTAATGAGAACCTGTTGGTGCACAGACTAGAATAAAAGTTTTTTTTTAAAAAAAATTATTTTTATTTTATGCGTATGCATGTATTGTCTGCATGTAGGTAAGTGCACCCGTGTTGTGCAACGCCTGGGGAGGACAGAAGAGGCTGTCGGATCCCCTGGAACTGGAGTTACGGACAGCTGTTAGCCACCATGTGGGTGTTGGGATTCGAACCCGAGTCTTCTGCAAGAACAGTCAGTGTTTTTAACTGCTGAGCCTCTTCTCCAGCCCTGAGACTAGAATAAAAGTTTTATGTATGCTGGGTCTGATGGTGTAGGCCTGTACTGCAGACAGCTGGGAGGCTGAGGCAGATGGATCCCAAGTTCAAAGCTGGCCCAGGCCATTTACGAAGGCTTGAAATTGTATATATATATATGAAAAAATAGTGCATACATGTGTGTGTGTGTGTGTGAGGGGTAAGATCTGGTCACTGCTGATGAGCAAGCCCGGAACAGTTCAACAGTACCTGATGAGACATCCGGGTCGTTTGAGGTCGAGCTTCCCTGGGTTCCCTTCTTGGAGGGCTCCCTGTGCCACACCTGCAACGCTCACCTGCACAAGGACTCTCCGCAAAGCCCACCCTCTTCCGAGCTCTGTCAAAGACCACGTAGAAGCCTTCCATCACGGTGGCACCAATCACCAGCGCATTCGTGGAAGACGAGATACCAAATCGGTAGCATTCATAGTTGAGGCCGGCTCCCATCATAGGCTGAATATAGAGCTGGTGATTGAAGGAAACCAGATAAAACAAAACACCGATCAGGCAACAGCACATAACTGGATGTCCCACACTGCTCAGAGCCCCGCCAAGGGGCAAGAGAGCTACAGGTGGACAATGATGATATCACCCCAGGAATCCGGGACGTGAGAAGTGAGAAGGGGGTGGTAAACTTCATTTTACTTATTTATTAATAACACATAATGAATGAGAAAAATTTACTTACTTAATAATAAACTTTAATAATTTTTAGTTTTTTTTACTTAATAATAAACTTTAATAATTTTTAGGTTTTTTTCTTTTGGTCTTTTTGAGACAGGGTCTCCCTGTAGCCCCAGCTATCCTGGAACTCACTATGTAGACCAGGGTGGCCTTGAACTCAGAGATCGCCTGCCTCTGCCTCCCAAGTGCTGGGATTAAAGGTGTGTGCCACCACACCCAGCCATAATTTTTAGTTTTAATTGGGTTTGTGCAGAATGCAGGCCTGTGCATGTGAGCGCACTGCCTGAAGAGGGTGTCAGAGCCCCTGGGGCTGGAGTAACAGGCAGTTGTGAACTGCCTGACATGGGTGCTGGGAACCAAACTCGGGTGGGTCCTCTGCAAGAGCAGCATGCACTCTTAAATTCTGAGCCATCTCTCCAGCCCCAACGATGATAAACTTTACAGAGAGGGGCAGTAGCCCAAAGACACGTGCACCACCTGTGTCACAAGAGGTTGGAAGGCACATGTCCTATTGGTGTGCCACCACGCTGACATCATCCCATGTGGAGGGAAAGCAAGTAGAGGACCCATCTCAGGGTTAGAGATGGCCATCTCTGTGTCACCAGTAGCTGGACATTGGGCAACTTCATTCCAGGGAACTGTACTTGCAAAAATAGTCCTGGCACTGTTGGCCTGTCTGCAAGCACTACCTCAGGGGAGAGAGCTCCAAGAGTTATTCCCTTCTTCCCTAGAGTCAGGACCTGGCCTCGATCAGGGCCTTAGTAAGTGTGTGTCCAATGAGTGTGTGGTGCTAAGCCTAGCCAGTGTCGAGTGGAACAGGCAAGGCAACTTCTAGCGAGGAACCACTTAAATCAGAAAAGGGCGGAGGGTGTGCTGAGTTGCCATGGAAACAGCTGCATCTGAGGTTCTGAAGACTGGCCCCCAGTTCATGAATACACTTTCTACTACCTCTGAAAGAACGAACTTCACAGCAAGCCCAAACAATTGCGTATGAATAATACGATGACCAAATGCCATACAGACTGGACTTGCATCACTGATCCTTTCTCTGTGTGTCCCAGGAGACTTCTAGAAGATACATTTTGTAAGTTGTGGGAAGGACTCAATCTTGCTGGATCTCAGGAAAAAAAAACCCACCACCAAACAAACAAACAACAAAACACTTGTCTATTTTAAAACAGCATTAAACAGACAACCAGTGGTATTTAGACTGAGAGTATGTATATTTATGTTCGTGTGTGTGTGTGTGTGTGTGTGTGTGTGTGCGCGCGGCGCACGCGCGCATGTGCATGTGTGGTAGGCCAGCAGCTGAGCTTGGGGTCTTCCTCTACTACACTCCACTTTATGTGTTGAGACAGGGTCTCTGACTGAACATGGATCACCAAATCACCAATTTGGCTGGTCTGGCTGGTCAGGGAGCGCCAGCGATCTCCTGTCTGTGCCTCCCCAGCACCGAGATTATAGGCATGCACTGCTGTGCCTGGCTTTTTACGTGGGTGCTTGGGTCCAAACTCAGGTCCACACGCTTGTGTGTAGCAAGTACTTTACTGACCAAGCCGTCCCCGCAGCCACAGGCCTTTTAAAAAAATGAGGACAAATAGATTTCAACCCACATGTTTTATAAAACCGTCTTGGGAATAGGTAAAATTTGAGGCCCTGGCCTTTGACCTGATTCTCCTCTGTATTGCTGGTGCCTGAAGTCTCCAGGGAGGAGCCGCAGGCTAGGATTCTGCTGACAGGAGCTGACAGGAGCTCTGAATCTGACCACCCTGGGTGTGTTAGGTAGTCCCTTGGCTGGGCAGAGCCTTGCAGCAGGGATGTGACTCTGCAGTGCCACCTCTGGCCAGATCAGGAAGTGCAGCTTCCCCGTAGGCGTCCCCTGCACATCCCCCGTAACCTCCCTCCGCAAGGCTACAATGCAATGGCTCTCTAAGAAGCCGGGACCACCATCCAGTACTGCACCATGCTCACCTTTGTCCCTGGCTGCGTTTGAACACGGTACAAACCACACTGATGAAATAATGTCCACATTTTTTGGCCGTTTAACTGACCAAAATGTGACCATATGCACATTATTGTATAGATGTTGGAACTACGCCGTCCTAACCTCACTCTGCCTGGGGCAGCTCACCCAAGGATGCTGCCTGTTTCTGAGACTGAATTGAGAAAGTGACATTATTTATTCTTTGCAGAGAAAGAAGCAGGGAGAGGGCTGAGCAATTCAGGAAGTTACGGTGCGGTCAAGGGCAGTGCTGAGACTTAACTCAAGCCTCTGGCACCCAGGGTGAGCGTCCTATGTAGAGCTGTATTTCTCCTCAGGAGTTCAGCCTTTCCCCTAGAATCTTCTCCATACAGAAAACTGTGCTAAAAGGCAGAATTACCATAACGTTTTTCTTCTAAAATGATTTTTCTGTCTTCATCCCATAGTCCCAGTTCCTCAAATTATGAAGGACTCAGAGGTGTCATTGGACACAGAGTAAATGCACATCTACCTGCTGCTGCCAGCCAGTGTTAGGCAGGGATGCTTTGTACCCTAAAACCACAGCGCTCCCCTCATTTTTAGGGAGTTCATAGTTTAAGAGGAAACACAGATGCTTTTGTGTGTGACAGTTAATGGCTCAGTGAACAGGACAGATAGCCCAAGAGATGGAGTGGGTTTGTTTTTTTTGTTTTTTGGTATGTGTGTACGTACACATGTGTAAGCAGGTTTGCATGCATGTGTGTATACATCTGTATGGAGGCCAGAAGCGAACCTGTTGTTCCTCAAGTGACATCCACCTTGGTTTTTTTGTTTGCTTGTTTTTTTTGGGGGGGGGGTGTTTGTTTTGTTTTATTGACAGCGTCTCTCACTGGCCTGGAACTTTCTAGTTAGGCTAGGCTAGCTGGCCCAGGAGCCCCAGGGATCCACCTGTCTCTACCTCTCGCTAGAAGGAGAGCTGACTCCTGCAAGCTGTTCTCTGATCTGACTTCCACACGAATGCTGTGGTAGAGACAGGCACACACACACACTAAAAATGTACTAAAAATCAGAAAACATCTGTCATATGGGACAGAGCATGGCAGAAAATCTACTCTAAAGTCGAGGTTTCCCATCAAATGAGTGGATGGGGAATATGCATTCAATGTTCACTTGAAGGGCAAGTTCACAAATGGCTCAGTAACAGTAACAAAAGCAGGTTGTCGGAGCCAGGCCTGAAAGGCTGGGAGCAATTTGGCCACAGGGAGGAGGGAGAGTTGGCCTTGTAGGCAGGGAGCTGGAGGACCCCAGCCTAGCATGCAGACAAACCAGATGCCATGCAACTCAGGGTGTGCTGGGAATTGACTGGAGAGGAGGCCACTCTGATAGGGGAGTCTCAGAAGCCAGGCAGGAGGTGAGGCACCAGGAATGGAGCAGTTGGGGCAGGGGGAGCGTGCTGCCAACAAGGAGGTGGGGTGAGGGACAGGAGCGAGCGACAGCTTTGGGAGGAGGAAGCAGGAGGATCGAGGAAGACAGACCCTGTCTACTGATCCCCTTGGGATAAGGGGTACCCTGGCTCTGGTTATGGGACCAAAATGGTCCTCATGTCTGACAATCCAGCTCTATTACTGATACACCATCAAAGTGGGAAATGGTGTTGTGGTGGATGTTACAAAATGTCCCCAAGTTCTTCATCTTTCCCCATGGCTGCCCCCTGTGGCTCTAAGGCTTTTCCCATTGCAAGGGGTGGCCATGCCCCAGCCCAGAAATCTGTGCCCCTCTTAGGTTTCTTTGGGCAGCACCACAGAGGGGAAAGTTGTCCACATCTGGGCTAAGACTGCAGGGCCCCATGCAGGGGCTGAACTGTATGGTCATCAGAGCCAGCTTGCTGATGGAGAGATATGAGGGTCTATCATGAACTTGACCCCAGACATGTGAGGCCAACCCATAATATCCCAGGCTCAGGCCAAGGCAGGCCCAGCTCACTCCCTGCTGACTAGAGTCACATGAGTCAGGCTTGCCAAGACCATCAGACCTGCAGGGTCAGGAGCAGGCATCCATATGGTGGGTTACTATGGCCACAGGTGCCTAGCCCAGGCATGACACCCACAGAGCCTGTGTTATGCATGAGGCCATTTGACTTCTGCACGTCATATGTAGAAAAGCAAGGAAAACAGAAGTCTAGGTGTTCACACCTGTGGCAGGATGGTGATCCGGAAGGAGCGGCTGGAGTTCTCGGCTCTCAGGTAGATGGAGATCTTAGGAAAGTAGGACCAAGGTGTTTCAGAATTCGTCCAGCACGCCAGCTGGGCCCCCGTCCAGAAGCCAGCAGAGAACTCTGGAATCTAGACAAAACAGACCGGGTGAGAAGCTGAGACCAGCCTGGCACATCGACAGGAAACGGCTCTCCGTTCTTCAGCTCCCAGCGCCAGACGCCCACAGGGATAAACAAAGTCTCATTTGGACAGAGTGACGGGGACATGAGTATCCTAAGAATGATGGTGATGACACAGTAATAATGACAAAAGCTGTACGAACAGGAGTAGGCACCGTTAAGAAAGCTACAACTACCTCAACCTTCCAACAGGCCAACCAGTGTGGTAACAGTCTCCATGTTATAGGTGAGGGAACCAGAGCACAGAGAGGTGCAAAACCCCAGGTCACGCAGCAATGACCCTGTAGAAGAAAGAAATCCCGAAGGTGTCTGTCCCAGTTTCATTTTTGTTGCTATGATAAAATATCCTGACAAAAAGCAACTTAGGAGAGAAACGGGTTTATCTGACTTAGAGGTTCCACAGTCCATCACCGTGGGGACGTCACAGTGGCAGGAGCTCGAGACAGCTGGTCACACATGACATCACAGTCATGAGCAGAGAGAAACAAATGCCCCATGTTGTCTCTAGCTTTCTCCTCATAGTTCAGAAGCCCTCGCCTAGGGAACGGTGCCACCCGCAATGGGATGGGCCTTTCTCTATCAAGTAACAGTTCAGGTCGCCTCCCACAGAACAAGCTACGATTATTCTGCTAAACTGACATAGCATCCAGTGGACTCCTAATGACTTATCGTTATCCCTATAAATCAGTGCATCTCTCAACTCTCACCAGAGAGTCTTCTTTGCTGGCACTAACACACAGACCCCAAACCGGTCAACATGTAGAAAATAAGGGACTGCAGAGTACTCAGCCCTAAATGGGACATCTATCTCATGTCCCTTCTGGGGCTGTCACAGAAAAGGGGTGGGAAGAGTATAAGAGTCAGAGGTGGTGTATGACTATGAAAAAACCAACCTTTTCCAGACAGCACAGGACAGCTGCAGATGTGAACACACAGTACTCGTGACAATATGAACAAGACTGTGCAAACTCAAGCCAGACAAAATCATCGCATGAATGGGATACATGGGCAAGAGACCCCAGCCCAGGATCTGTGATCTGACAGTTGAGCTTCTGAGAAGGGGAGAGTCTGTTTTCTTTAAGGATGGGATGCTGGGTAGGCTGATCACAGTCCAGGGGATGGACCCATGTCCAAGAGTATTTTGGGGAACACAAACTGGATTTGATAGATTTTATATATGTATATATATATATAT